GGTTCCAACTATATGTCCCCATTCAAATGCATTGGTTGTCGATAAAAAGAGGTATCCAATAGCCGGACCCCCTGGAGATCCGCCACTGTATCTTATAGCAGGTATAATATAAAAATAAAAAATTGTACTTCTGTCCACTGCAAATTGACTTTTTTTTCATTCAATGTCAATGTTCACAATTTTGAAGCATGTATTGTCTACATTTTCTTTTTTTCCATATTGTATTTCAATGTAACTTCAATGTAAGTTAAATTCTATTGGTACACAAGTTCTGCTGACAAATGGCTGATAAACCCCTCTTGTATGTAATTATTTGGCATGAAATGAAATATGTTTTTTCTGTATATGGAAATTAGGAATAATCCACCCTCTCTTTATAAAAGACCTGGATCTGCTTAAAAGCTCTTGCTTTTCTCAGAATTTTCCAATTTTTACACCAGGAATAAAGGCTTCCGATAATCATGCTTGACGATCATTTAGATCACACATAAAGAACCCATCTCTTTGCAGATAATAGTAGAAAAACAAAGATACAATGTAGTTGGTAACATAAATGTATTGTTTAAAAATATCAAGAGAAACATTCCCATACAGAATCTCTGTCAATAAGTTATTTTTCCACTCTTAACAGTGAAATCTTAAATATGTAAATTGATCGGCAAGCCTCGCATCTTGAAAAATAAAATGTCTGTAGGAGAGAACTATTGTTTCACAATTGATGCTGTGTTAGAATTTATAATATCACTCTTTTTTCCCCATATGATCAGCATAAAAAGTGACAATCTATAAGTTCTTCAGTCTAAATAACTTTGTTAAATCTCATTTCTGATGGAACATTTTCAGTGCACCAGATTAACAACTTTCTATAGCTATGTTAGATACTTATTTAAATAAAAAAATTCAAGTCTAATTTTAGAGTGAAATTTTAATATATTTAAACAAACTGTTCTATGAACAACCAACATGTACAAACACTGAGTTTATTTTCATATCCTTTCTAAGAATATTGATACGAAGAAAGTAAAACAAAGACTTGTATCATTCCATCTTCCAAAAGGGTGTTTGAGAATATACAAATTAGTCCAAGTTTCAGAGAAAAGTCAGTTATCTAAATTTTCTTCTTAGGAAGTTTTCAAAAACCTGTTTTAGGGTACTTGAAAAAATGCCATATTCAACCATTCCATGACTATTTTAATGTTACAAGAGTAGAGGAACATGAAATATTGAATGGTTATTCAAGAAAGTGTCGAAATATAACTACAATCATTAATTTTACTCGAATTTACTGTTGTGAACTTGCATTTTCCTACGACGCGTGTACGGAGTTATCTCCCTTTGATCTCCACTTCGCCACGATTAAGCTGACACAATTTCGTATCCAGTGAATTTAGGATCGATTATCATCAAAATTTAACGTAAAAAATGGTTTTGCTTCATATTTTATACCCCTCAACACGTTACCATACCTATTTAAGGAATAATTAACGATTTTCAGTGGACCTACGCAAATTTTCAGAAAATAAGTTTCACTTCACTCGTGAATTTATAATACTTTAACAACACTTTTTAATAATAATTATAAAGAATAATGAAGCTTATTCAATCTAGAATTGAACACTTTTATTTTTATTGATGTACGAGTACAAATAAGACGATACGAGTCAAAAAACCACCAGGCATGCACGTTTACCAAAAAACCGTAAACTCTGACCTTTTGTCACGTGACCAATGTCTTGACCTTAGAAGCCATTAAATCGTTTGCCGTCCAACTGTACCTATTCGTGTGTCCATATCGACAGGCATATTTTTATAGTACGAGGTTTCCTCTCGGATTATATATGATGTAGTCGCCAAATGCATTTAATGAAACACCTGAGTACACTTATGTGTGGGTCTCGTTTGGGTAAATAGAGTAGAAATGATTTAGATATAAATCGATTAAGGTAGATAGGGTGTCTTCCTCCATCTTGGATTTTGAAATACCAGAAAACAATCGGTTTAGATCTTTAAGAAAATGTGCAAATTTTGAGAATAGTAGTTAATTCATGTGTAAGAATTTTCATTTCAATATAGAAAATGACATGTTTTATCATATTTATGGTTGTATTTTACAAAAAACAGAATACTTTTGTTTGATTAAATTTTTTCCAACTTTGCCACATAAGGGGAGGCAACTCAAATGTAAGGGCAGATAATTCAGATAAAGTTACTTTTACAATAGAATGTGTTAGGAATTTACCTATTTTATTATGTAGCAAGAAAACGGGTCCCGTGACCCCATTTTTTCTTTTTCTTATCTGAAAGCATAAAAATAGAGCTATCTTCTCATATTTTATCTCAAAATTCTATGGTGTAGTTTTCGTTTTATAGCAGAAAATTGGGTTTTCCATGCATAATCTATACAAAATCTGTCAATTTTGTACAACCTGTAGTGAAAATAAGCCCCGTGACCCATTCTTTTTATTATTTTTTTTAAAAAAGCTTGATATTAACTACATTTTGGCAAATTATTAAAAAATTCTATGGATTATAATTTAGACACCCCATCTACCTTAAGAACTACTGAAGTGAATAAAAATACGACATTCAAAGTATGTGTATAAAGAACCCTCACTTGACTTATTTAATGGAGAGAGATAGATAAGTTTATTTTTGAAAGTGAAAATTTAAATGTATCCGGAAATTCTTTAGAATAGAGAACATTTTGACGGAAGATCAGGTAAGTCATTCATACAATAACATACTAACATGCTGTCGATTGGCTTAACTATAGGATTTGAAAAATCTAAACACACTCCTACAGTGACACATACACATTGAAAAAGGGTAATGACAAAGTAACGTCTTATTAATCAATGAATCAATGAATGTGAAATATGCCTTTTCTGTATACGTTATGAAACTAAATCAATCAATCTAACATCATTCAGTCAGGCAAACAAACCATCCAAGTATTCAATATCAAATTGAATATAATTTCTTCAAATTTGACAGTATACAAAATTTAGATCACTCAAATAAACTACCAATGATTCAAATTAATAAATATATATGAACAACCTGGTGTTTTACACGTATATATATATATATATATAAACAGAACAACTTAGCAGTTATTTTGTTCAAAAAAGTGGAAAGACCTTCAATCATGGAAAGCAATGTTAAAAAAATCAATTGGTGTGTCAGGTAAATTAAAGATGATATCTCATTTAAATGTCCAATCTCTCGACTTTCAATAGTCAAATGCAAATATTTATTACATGTCTACTCAACACACACACACACACATATAAGATAAGGGAATACACGTTTTTCATTATGAAATCGTTCCCGTAATAGAACATTTCTAAAATTAGATAAAATGGAAGAAAATATTGTAAATGATTAATTTTCAAAGGTAGATATATGTCTTGACCTATAATGGTTTACTTTTACAAATTGTGACTTGGATGGAGAATTGTCCCATTGGCACTCATACCACATCTTCTTATATCTGTATAGTTCGAAATAATAAATGTCATCGGTCATGCATCTTTCGAAATTATATTAATTTAGATATTTATTTTTTTGGTTGATTTAATATATATATTCAAACATCTTTAAGGGTCGTTTAACATTAGTTCATAAGTCAATCATCGATTCTTATATCATATATTCAATGCATATGAACAGTATATACATGATATAATGGATAACCCTTTTATATAAGAATTGGTGGTAAATTTCATCAGCATTAATACATGTAATATGTTTTAACATAACAAACGGGAGGCAATCACGCTAGGTTTAGTGTCCATTTTAATCGGTCCGCTTTTTTTAGTGTGGACCGGGGTTCATCGAGTGAAATGAGGAGTTAATGGCCTATTTACACAAAATCCATTTAGATTTGGACGTGAACTGTTTATTATAAATATTTTTAGATACATGGTTTTAGTATGTGTTATTGGCTTTTAATAGCGTTCATTTCAAATGTAAACATAATATTTTCTAGCTACGCCAATGGAAATGGAATGTTTTAGCTAAAATACAGACCTTTCTTCGCAGTATATTATTTTTTTTAAGTTCTAATTATGTAAGCATTTCCTGAATACATCCCCTTATCCATATCATCCAGATCTTAATTAGATTTCTCACAAAATTATGTAAGCTTATTAAAAAAAGAGTTTTACAATATCTTTAATATCTTCAATCAAATCAATCAAATCTGATTTTTCGAAAGAGGTACAACACTAAAGAGGTATTAATACTAATATTTCGAAAAGAACTGACAACGCCATGGTATAAAAATGCAAAACGACAAAAGACAAGCAACAATTCAAGACACACAATAAAAAAACATACTACTGCACCGGACTACTAAACACATCAGATGCTCAGATGAAATAAGCAGATCCTGCTCCACCTGTTGCACCTGTCATGTCGAGTGTGTAAAATAAATCCGTTAATAAATTATTTGCAATCAGAATAATCTATTGTCACTTATACTCACATATCTGATGACCATGTTTAACAGCTAGAATAATTTATAAGTATTTTTCTTTATCCCACTGTTCATTCAATGTTGAAGTCGACTTTGAATAAGCATTATTCGTCTTGCTTCTTTTATAGTAAATTGTATATTAGTTTTCTCAGCTGAAGCGATCAACAACATGTTTACTCTGTTTTCCTTACTCTTGTTGTTTATTAGATTTAGTGATGTATGTCGCAATGACCATTTCATTTATAACCTAGAAATAAAAACTGCCAATCGTGTTATAGATGAATCAATACCAGACATGAAATATACGTTTGGTTCTTAACAAGATTCAAAACAATTAGTCATAAGTTTTAATTATCAGTTTAGATATCGACTTAGTTATTCAATTAATGAATTACTCAATTTAAGGATAATCTGGTTCAGATCGAATTCCAAATGAACCATAATTGTATTAACTGGTATATACAATTATTTTTTTTGTAGGTGAAGCATAGCAATGGAAGAATTCCAATATATCATGGTAGCATCTCTGAATTTTGAAACTACTAAATGCCGGTATACCTTTTCGACGATATCTGAATTTATGGAAGATCCATTAAAAATGCACATCATCGTTGTTTGGAATACAGGTTCTAGAAATTTTATGTCAAAAAGTAATTCCATATGTCTGCTTCTTGATATAAACAAAGACTTCGTAGCTTTTGGTTATGATGCTGAATCTCGGTATAACGACGTTCTTTTGGATGGTTTAAAAGATGATTATTACTTTTTCTGTGGTTTAACGTTACTTCACAGCAACAAGGTACTTATTTCAATAGTGATTACTTTGGTTGATTCACCTTTTACACTCATTATATTTACTGATACTCTGCTTTATGAAACGGGTGGCTATCTTATGATGGGTATGTCTTTTTAATACAGTGTTTTTTAGGCGATATATTTGTTTAAATATGTATCATATTTTAGATACTGAAAAACAAATTTTACAAAAAATTGTCATATGGAAACTGAGTGACAAGAGCATGTTAAAATTCTATCTAATTGTCGTGAATTTTAGCATTAATTTGTAATTCAGTTTCTATATAATAACACTTTTTCTTTATATCTAAAATTTCAGTATCTCAACAAACGTACATTGCAATAAGAATTAACATAAGTAATTGACATAACTACGTGGAAGTACATGGAAATATTGTGGTTGTCAAATTATTGGGAAAATAAATTTGTATGTGCATCTTGAACTAAAGTCTCCAATTGGGCTCGATTTCATGTTATAACTACAATTGATTTGGTCTGAATCTTTCAAAATGTTTTATAATAGAAAAACAAAGGATATGGGGTATTCATCCATGACACAAAATCAGTACATGCACAGAAATTAAACACACAAAAAGCAAAAGAGTAGCGCTTTTATTGCTGTTCTTCATCTCAAAGTCACAGTGAGGCCTTCAACACGGAGCAAAACAACTCTTACTTCACTCCAAGTTTAAGACGGCCCTAGAACTGGAATTCAGTGTAAAAATAATATGGATAGACTTAGTAAGATTTAACATTTGTGTAACCTTTCGACAGGTCTGCTCCAAACTCGACATTTGGAGAGGTCTGCCTTTGACGGGTGGCGATAATAGGTCAGCACATGACAAGAACTTAGAACAGGTTTGCTTTTGACCTGATCATTGATTATATAAACGTTAATGAAATTGTTCTATTTTCCAGAACAATAAAATTCAATACTCTTAAGTGGTTGTAAATATACAAGGCGCTGGCTATGAGTACTCACAAAAAGAAACAAAAAGAATGAATTATTGTTTCTTCCAAGACTAATTGTCGAATATTTCCGTACATGGACCGACTTCATTCCGAGATTGCAAGTAACAATAATATCGTTTTTTTTTGTTTCATACATGTTGAACTCTAAATTGTTGCAGAAAAAAATAAACAGTAAAAATGTGGGCACTCTGAATTTAGCCGACCAAAAATTCAAGTAACTGTACACAAACATTTTCTTTCATTTATCATGTTTCTATCATGTATTAATTGACAGCTAGTTCAAAACCAATAACAATTAATAAAAAAACATGAATCTCAGACTAGATTATCAATCAGTACACATCCAACATCCAATGGATTTAGTGTAAATACGTCATAAACAGTCAGAGAAAAACATGACCTTGTGCAATGCCAAGATACTGGTATCGAAAGATTATAGAGCCATGAATGTGCATATGTATATAACAATAATATTTAGTTTGCTTTTAATATACTGATGACAGAATCAATATTAATTCCAATAAAAATAATATTCAAAGATCTAATTAAAGTGTTGAACTGGTAACCTTTTATAATAAGTTTATTTAAAGGACCGATAAGTTTACCAGGATCGTATCTTAATTTTCGGGCACGGTGAACAGCATCTCCGTAAAAATCAGGATGTGCTATCCCGTTCTAAATAAGTTTTCTACAGGTACAACCAACCTTCAAAGCCAAATCTTTATATCTATGGAAGAATTTAGTAAAGGTTTTACGAGTTGTGATGTATAAACACCGTAAGATGGTGCCAAAGGAAAATCACCATCCAAAAAAGAAAATTAACAATAGGAACGAAAAATCGTCCCTTTTGTCGTAAATCTTAGTGTGGAGTTTCTTGTGTAAAACTGAAATATATAGATCTGGGAAAGGACAGTTATTACCGTTTATATTTGATTTATTTAAAGTAAGTTCCTTTTGATAAATGTCGGCATCATATTTAGAAATTTCAATGGGGACTAAATGTGCAACACTTATTGCGAACCTGTTTCTATATTGTAACGAGTTACAATTTATGACTAAAATCAATAGACCCATCGAAACAACATCTGATACAAAAATTTAATAACACTTTTAAATATTTGGATGCTACATTGACTCTCAATAATGACGACTTCAGTATGTGAACTAAAGAGATTTTTCCGGCGGAACTGACTTTAAATAAAGCTTATACTAACAATGATCACTGCCCTTTCCTGGATCTTGATATCCATATCTTTAACGGGAAGCTTTATACCTAAATTTATGATAAAAGAGATGATTTTTCATTTCCTATTGTTAATTATATATTTTTAAATGGTGACGTTCCCTTGTCACCATCTTATGGTGTTTATATAACTCAACTTGTTCGATTCGTGCGTGTATGTAACAACGTATTTGATTTTAACGAAAGAAATGTCTGTATTACTGAAAAATTATAACACCAGGGTTTTCGATACAACAAACTAGTCAAGACATTAAGTAAATTTTAACATCGGTACAAGGACATCATTCGTAAATATAAATCAACATACAGACATTTTATACGTTCAGGTATTTCACATCAAATCTTTTATTGTAATATTCTTTACAAAGCACAACATTGTCGGCATTCACATTGAAAGCTATAAACAGACTTATTCAGAAGGGATGTAGTTACGATACTGTTGTCAGGTCATTAAATAATACAAAATTTAGTGACTATGTTGAACGAATCTATCCCATCGAACTAGAGATAAAGGATACTACAGATACAGTTAAGTCTGCCTCATATCTTGACTCACATCTAGAAATTGACAATGAGGGTCGGTTGAAAACAAAACTTTACGACAAAGAGATAATTTCAGCTTCCCAATTGTGAACTTTCCAGTTCTATGTAGCAACATTCCAGCAGCGCCTGCATACGGAGTATATATATTCCAATTGAAACGATATTCCAGGGCTTGCATTTCCTATCATGATTTCCTTGATAGAGAATTGCTGCTCACAAGGAAGCTATTAAACCAAGAGTTCCAAATGGTGAAGTTGAAATCATCCCTTCGTAAATTTTACGGACGCCATCACGAGTTGGTTGACAGTTATGAAATAATCGTTTCACAGATGATATCGGATATGTTCCTTATGTCCTAACTACAATACCCTTCCCTTTTCACGACTGTGACCTACCGAATTAGACTATTTACCGGCTTTGTAATAACATAAGCAACACGACGGGTGCCACATGTGGAGCAGGATCTGCTGACCTTTCCGGAGCACCTGAGATCACCCCCAGTTTTTTGTAGGGTTCGTGTTGCTTAGACTTTAGTTTTCTATGTTGTGTCATCTGTACTATTATTTGTCTGTTTGTCTTTTTATTTTTGGCTATGGCGTTGTCAGTTTGTTTTCGATCTATGAGTTTGAATGTCTCTCTGGTATCTTTCGTTCCTCGACTCATCCGATAAGTTTTGTTGATTTTATCAATTTAATGCAATTTAGACGGGTCTTTACTGAGTTTGGTCATAAACTGGGATTCATAACAGAACAAGAACAAGTCTTTTATTAATATAAGGGGCGCAATTATTGCTCATAGGAATACCTACAACATGTCGATAAAATTTGCTGCTGAAACGTACATAAATATTATCAAGGAGAAAGTTAATAGCTTCAATCATCTCATAACACCTCCAGTAAGTATATCTAACATTTTTACCTTTCTCATTAGAGAAGAAGGCTTTAAATGAGTTGCAGCAAATATATTTGGATTCAGATTTACCAAAAAACTATTCAATTAAATAGGACAACTTTTGTTTGATAAGATTGTGTGGAAGTGTAGTGTAAAGAGTTGTAAAGTCAAATATATCAACGGAATCAAAAGGACCATCAAAAGCACGTTATTTATCTAAAACATCCAAAGAAATATTTTACATTCCAAAAATAGTTAATACTACTTTGTCTATATATTTTATTACAAAAGTTAATGATAAGTTCTTTGATAGTAGTTAAAGAACTAGTTAAAAGCACCGAAAGATTAGTTGTAGAACACTTACTAGAGGTCGAAAAGAAACAATATGTTACTGGTTTTTTGTTTAGTTTAGGTTACCAATACAAAGTAGGGAGTTAGAAACGAAAATTGTAAGAAAAATATGTTTATTTTAGTAGTTAGTTGGCGAATAAAAATTGAAAGTGGCGAAAAATATATTGATTTGGCGAAAGAGGTGGCGAAAAAGAAAATTGACCCAGGGGAAACCCTGTTAGGGACCTTCAAATGTTCAGAGGAGGTCTTAAGCTGTGATGTGGTTATGATATGTTTGTTTACTATAAAAAAAAAAGTCTATATAACTCTCTGTGGAGCGCACGGACTTGAATGTATATGACTTTAAAATTTCATTCCTAAGATCGTTCGTGTAGTATTTACAGCATACCACCACCACATAATGGGCTGCTCTGTCGGCCGGTACAAACACAAACCGCTTTGAAATTTCTTGAAATTTATTTCTTATTCTAGAAATAAGCGTATTATGTACTCTTTTATTTATTTCTGAAATATTTTTAAAATGTGATATTCGAATATCCACAACATTCATACATTTATCTAAATAAGAATCAAAAGATTTTTTATCAGATTTTTTCCGTTTCACCATTTTTTACAATACGATGAAAGAGCGTCTTTTGTGACCTGATGACACTGTTTCTAATCTAGTTTAGATGGAGGACGATATGTTTGTCCTTTTGTTAACCTCTCTGTCTAGAACGATATTGAGGTCCCCCGTAATGACATTGCCATAGGGATCATATCTAAAATTCGACGATTCACAGTTTCTAGTTAGAATAGTATTATTTTCTACATTGACGTCTGATGTTACTTACCTATAATTGAAAATTAAACTTCTACTGGGTTTTTGTATGTGTACGAAATAATAGGTGGTTTTGTAATTGGGAGGTATAAAGTTTTGAATGGTAGAGTCATTAAATATACTGGATAAGTTGATAAGTGAGAGGTTTAGCGCTAAAAAACCAGGTTCAACACACCATTTTCTACATAAGAAAATGCCTGTACCAAGTCAGGAATATGACAGTTGTTATCCATTCGTTTGATGTGTTTGTGCTTTTGATTTTGCCATTTGATAAGGTACTTTCCTTTTTGAATTTTCCTCGGAGTTCAGTATTTTAGGGATTTTACTTTTTGATAAAATCAATACCTCTGTTAATATATTAAATTTTCAGAAAGTGCCGTTTATGATCTTCAGACATGTTTTATGCTCATCTAGACTAAATCGCTTTAAATGTTTGTCATCTAACTTGAGGTTTTTGAGAACTGTTGTGTAGAAAACCAGGTACAAGAAAGAACACAGAAAAATATCTATAATCAAATTTCAACACGATCTTGTATTTTTCACGGTTGTAACAGCAGCCACTTTTAAATTTCAAACTATTATTGCAGATATTTTTAGGACAGGTCACATTTTCCGAAGATTCAATCCAGTTTGGAACATTTTGTTTTTCAATTGTTCATCTTAATGGACAACAACATTGCGTTTAAAAAGTTAATGTAAACTCAAGCTTTGGGAGGAAATGTATTGTTTTCATTTTTAAGTTTCCCGTTGGATTTGTGACCATTTTCAAACTTCAATTACAGTTTGCACATTAACACATGAGTCCAATTTAATAGGGTTTGGTCTAATTACTACTAGGGAAATTCATAGGACAATATATATAAGAAGATGTGGTATGAGTGCCAATGAGACAACTATCCATCCAAGTCATGATTTTTAAAAAGTAAACAACTATAGGTCAAAGTACGGCCTTCAACACGGAGCCTTGGCTCACACCGAACAGCAAGTAGTGCAAATAATATCTTAGTAGTAATAACAACAATAATTAAATGACATATCGTCACGTCGTTCTTACACTACTTTTTCATTTTCTAATCAATCAATCAATAAATCAGTTAATGGCCATTTAATTGTGATTGTATTCCATCTACTTTCTAACTTTTTTTATGAACATTGCCTACATTTGCATATGCATTTTTTTTGAAGACCTTTGTAAGTCCTCGATGATCATATTTACACGGAATAACACATGGAGTTTTACCCTTATTTTTACAAACGTTTTACGTGGTAACATGTAAAAAACAACAACCAAAATGTTAAAAGGAATTTCCAAAGTACAACTTAAACTATTCTTTTGAATTGTTTCCTGGTGACTCATAAAATGTTCTTTTTATCGCCGATTTAAGTGTCAACTGGTTTTGAGTATTGTAAATTATTTATAAAACACAAAATGTAATACACATGTAAAATTGGTTTCTGGTCGTTAGTCATAAAAACCAATCATCACAGCGGACACTTTCACAAAGAGATAGACCCGAAGCCGCATCCTCTCTGTCCCCTTCAGCTCTCATTTAATAATAGTATTTGTCATTCGCACATTTTCTATTACTATGAGTTTTTCGTTTTTAAATAACGAGTTATTAGTAACCTCTGATGATATATGAAAATATGACTATTCAAACGTCTTTATATATTATCTTATCTTAATTATCAAGTAGATGTTATCATTTCCTCTTCACCCAATTTTCAATTCAAGTAAGCATAGACTTATTATTCAGATCGCTATGTTACAAACTTATACAACCTTGTCTACCTTTAATTTTACTTTTTTAATTTTAAGATAATAAAAAAACGAAAAATACTTCCGCCTTTTATTTTTCTTTTAAGATATAAAATACTTTTAATTTTTGATTTTTGTATTTTATTTCCGCAAAAAGAAAACTAAAATTGAGGAAGACAAAAATCGGACCGAGATATATGTATAGTGTATTTATAAGTTGTGATGGAACGTATTGTGTATTTAATTTTTTTATGTTATTTGGTAAATGGTAGATCACCCTATTTGAAACCTGTTTCAATAGCCATCACAAATGCAGAGACTTAAGCCATTGTAAACTTACATTGGGATCTTCCTAAAATTTTTTATTGTTTGTAGTAGTTTGTCCAGACGACTGTATTAAATCTGGATCGACGTATTTAAATCGCATGCTAAATCTAAAACGAGTTAAGATCTGTAATCACGTATGTGATTTGAAGAGAGTGGCGATCTTTAATCCTAACTGATTCTGTATTTCGTGTGTATCTTGACAATCTTTAATTATTTCAAGAATTACGTAAATGTCTAGTTATGGTATATAACGTGATCGTGCTCACGTATTATGTGAACACCTTTGACGAGTTGTGATCTTTCATTAGCTCATTAACTGGATTTGGATTTCATATAGACTATTAGCAGTACATACTTACAAATTCAAAAGCAGAAACTCATATTGGAACCAATAACATTCTTATTTTCTACATTTTAACATTTTAGAATGTCACTGGCGACATGATTATTGAAGATGTGACTGGAAAAATTCTACCTGCTTTTGACGTATTAAAATATGCTGTTAAATACTTAGTGAGTCATCTGATGGATATTTTGGAAAATGTCGGGCATAATGAAGTGAAATGGGTTCTGACTGTACCATCATCCTGGACAAAGACTGGCGAAGATATTATGAAATTAAGTGCAGAGTGGGTGAGTTGATAAAATAAGCTGTGAACTCCGAGTAGAACATGTGACCAATTACAGTGATATGTCTTCCTTTCGGCTCTGATCGTCTGACCTAGCACGATTAAATGGTCATTTGTATACAATCATGTAATTAGCAGTGTACCGTCAAATGTATGAAGGCTGAATTTGTCGTTGTATGTTACGCATTCATCAATATAATACTGTACATAAAATATAGTTCTAGGGTAAACATCTATGTAACAGAAAGTTTGGCATTGTAGAAAACAAATATAACTGATCTTCATGCAAATGATATTTTAAGGGAATGATATTTATACTTGATTCCATAGAAATAAAAAAAAATCCTATGATAAGTCAATCAGAGGTATATCTTAAAACCATTTAAAACAGTATAATTAAAAACCAATTGTTCAGAGAACAATTGAAGGTCTTTCCACATCAATTTTCAAAGTTATTGAAAAATAGCTAGTTCCGGTTTACTCAAAGTTAAAATTGGTATCCAATCATAAGTTTCTTCAAACTGATGCGATAAATGAATGGTTTCTATATACTTTTGAGTGAAATAAGGGAGATAATGTGCTACTTCCGGTGAAGTAAACGTCACTTCCAGTCTCATATGATACCTTCTTTTACACTGATTCCAAAAATACATAGTTTCTATATACTTTTGTATGTAAAACAGGAGATAATTGGCCACTTCCGGTTTATCGAAAGTCACTTCTGGTCTAGTGATAAGTTTATGTATTTATATTACAAAATATATTGATTCTGAGTACTTTTCCATGAAAAAAGTGCAAAAAAGGCTACTTCCGATTTTCTCAAGGTCACTTCCGGTTGACATCTTTCAAGGTCATATGTCACCAAACCTTTTGTAAAATGTCATATATATGTCTTTATAATGAACCAAGTTGAAGTAATAATCAATTAACCTTATTATTAGACATTTCAGGGGCAGTCACTCCTATAAGATGCCATTAGATTGTTTCAACCCAAATGTAACATATCTTCATTACAATAATTTTTTCATATATATCTTTAAAAGTGTTGGAGAAAATGCAAAAACAAGGAAAAGTCAAAATTAAGAACTTGACCTTGACCTTTGACCTTGACTTTATTTTCTAAGTTAGGAACTACGGATCTCAAATAAAAAGATTCCAGGGTTATACGGTTAAAGGTTTATGAGTTAAAAAACATACCGACAAATTTATTTGGTAAAGGTAGATAACTCCTTTAAAATTTCATCGAATCGCTTCGATCCAAATTAGCCAAAAATTTCTAAGGATGTAACGAACAATTTAGAAAAAGAATTTTGTCAATATCTTTTTTTGTTACGAAGGAGATGCACACACTTGATAAACAGTGAATAGGGAGATAACTCTTACAAAGATAATTGTTCGGCTTAGCAGGGTGAAATTTAAAGTGCATACACTGAACGATACAATGTAAGAAATATCTAAGCGACATATTGCGAAACAAATATTTATCGCAAGAAAAAAGTTTGGCGGAAGAAAAAAAAAAATTAAAAACCAATTGTTCAAAGAACAATTGAAGGTCTTTCCACATCAATTTTCTAAATAATTGATGAGAAGCTAATTCTGGTTTACTCAAAGCTACTATTGGCGTGCAATCATAGGTTTCTTCATACTGATTCAATAAACCTATGTTTTCTATAGACTTTTGCCTGAAATAAGGGGGATAATTGTCAGTTTCCGGTTAAGAAAATGTCACTTCCGGTCTCATATGATAGCTTTATTTACACTGATTCCAAAAATATATGGTTTATATATACTTTTGCCTGTAAAAAGGGAGATAATTGACTACTTCCGGTTTAGAAAATGTCACTTTTGGTCTCATATGATAGCTTTATTTACACTGATTCCAAAAATATAGGTTTATATATACTTATGCCTGTAATAAGGGAGATAATATGCTACTTTCGGTTTATAAAATATCACTTCCGGTCTCAAATGATAGATTAATGTATGACCATTCAAAAAATATATGGTTTCTAGGTACTTTTCCATGAAATAATTGCAAAAAATACTACTTCCGGTTCACTCAAGGTTACTCTCGGTTTAATTTTTTTCAAGGTCATATGTCAACCAACAGTTGGCAAAAGACCCTATGGCTTTATCATGTACCAAGTTGGAGTAATAATCAATTAACATTATATTGAATCATTTCAGGGACAATAACTCCTATAAGATATCATTGGATTGTTTCAGACCAAATGTATCATATCTTAATCACAATTAAGCAAACATTTTGCACTAGTTCTTTAATTTATAATTTTAAAAGTGACAGAGATCAAATAACAAGGAAAAGTCAAAACTTGGAATATGACCTTGACCTTTGACCTTGGCCTCAATTTCATTTAAATGAACCAAGGAACTCAAATCAATATACCTTAGGTCTCTATGACTTACCATTCATGCTATACATTTATATATCCCTTATGTCAAATACAAAAGGGGAAATAACTCTCATATGGAGTTTACGAATCGCTTCGGTCAAAATTGGACAAAACATCCTGATGATATAACGAGCAATTTGGTAAAATAAATTTGTCGCTTTCTTTTATGGTTACGGAAGAGATGCACACACAAGGAAAACAGTGTTCGAGGAGATAACTCCTACAAAGAAAAGTATTCTGTTAAGCAGGGTCAATTTCAAAGGCGCATAAACTGTTCGATATCATATACGAAACATCTAAGCGACATCTTGCGAAACAAAAGTTTATCGCAAGAACAAAATTTGGCGGAAGAAAAAAAAAAATTAAAAACCAATTGTTCAAAGAACAATTGAAGGTCTTTCCACATCAATTTTCTAAATAATTGATGAGAAGCTAATTCTGGTTTACTCAAAGCTACTATTGGCGTGCAATCATAGGTTTCTTCATACTGATTCAATAAACCTATGTTTTCTATAGACTTTTGCCTGAAATAAGGGGGATAATTGTCAGTTTCCGGTTAAGAAAATGTCACTTCCGGTCTCATATGATAGCTTTATTTACACTGATTCCAAAAATATATGGTTTATATATACTTTTGCCTGTAAAAAGGGAGATAATTGACTACTTCCGGTTTAGAAAATGTCACTTTCGGTCTCATATGATAGCTTTATTTACACTGATTCCAAAAATATAGGTTTATATATACTTATGCCTGTAATAAGGGAGATAATATGCTACTTTCGGTTTATAAAATATCACTTCCGGTCTCAAATGATAGATTAATGTATGACCATTCAAAAAATATATGGTTTCTAGGTACTTTTCCATGAAATAATTGCAAAAAATACTACTTCCGGTTCACTCAAGGTTACTCTCGGTTTAATTTTTTTCAAGGTCATATGTCAACCAACAGTTGGCAAAAGACCCTATGGCTTTATCATGTACCAAGTTGGAGTAATAATCAATTAACATTATATTGAATCATTTCAGGGACAATAACTCCTATAAGATATCATTGGATTGTTTCAGACCAAATGTATCATATCTTAATCACAATTAAGCAAACATTTTGCACTAGTTCTTTAATTTATAATTTTAAAAGTGACAGAGATCAAATAACAAGGAAAAGTCAAAACTTGGAATATGACCTTGACCTTTGACCTTGGCCTCAATTTCATTTAAATGAACCAAGGAACTCAAATCAATATACCTTAGGTCTCTATGACTTACCATTCATGCTATACATTTATATATCCCTTATGTCAAATACAAAAGGGGAAATAACTCTCATATGGAGTTTACGAATCGCTTCGGTCAAAATTGGACAAAACATCCTGATGATATAACGAGCAATTTGGTAAAATAAATTTGTCGCTTTCTTTTATGGTTACGGAAGAGATGCACACACAAGGAAAACAGTGTTCGAGGAGATAACTCCTACAAAGAAAAGTATTCTGTTAAGCAGGGTCAATTTCAAAGGCGCATAAACTGTTCGATATCATATACGAAACATCTAAGCGACATCTTGCGAAACAAAAGTTTATCGCAAGAACAAAATTTGGCGGAAGAAAAAAAAAATTAAAAACCAATTGTTCAAAGAACAATTGAAGGTCTTTCCACATCAATTTTCTAAATAGTTGATGAGAAGCTAATTCTGGTTTACTCAAAGCTATTATTGGCGTCCAATCATAGGTTTCTTCATACTGATTCAATAAACATATGGTTTCTATAGACTTTTGCCTGAAATAAGGGAGATAATTGTCAACCTTCGGTTTAGAAAATGTCACTTCCGGTCTCATATGATAGCTTTATTTACACTGATTCCAAAAATATATGGTTTATATATACTGTTGCCAGTAAAAAAAGAGATAATTGGCTACTTCCGGTTTAGAAAATGTCATTTTTGGTCTCATATGATAGCTTTATTAACACTGATTCCAAAAATATATGGTTTATATATACTTATTCCAGTAATAAGGGAGCTAATATGCTACTTCCAGTTTAGAAAATGTCATTTTTGGTCTCATATGATAGCTTTATTAACACTGATTCCAAAAATATATGGTTTATATATACTTATTCCAGTAATAAGGGAGCTAATATGCTACTTCTGGTTTATAAAATATCATTTCCGGTCTCAAATGATAGATTGATGTATGACCATTCAAAAAATATATGGTTTCTATGTACTTCTACATAAAATAAGTGCAAAAATGACTACTTCCGGTTCACTCAAGGTCACTTCCGGTTGACATTTTTCAAGGTCATATGTCACCTCACATTTTGCAAAAGATCTTATGGCTTTATCATGTACCAATATGAAGTAATTATCAATTTACCTTAAAATAAAAAATTTCAGGGGCAATAACTCCAATAAGATGTCGCTGGATTGTCTCAGACCTAATGTATCATATCTTCATCACAATATAACAAACATTTTGCACTTGTTCTTCAATATATAACTTTAAAAATATCGGAGAAAATGCAAAAACAAGCAAAAGACAAAATTCAGAACATGACCTTGACCTTTGACCTTGACCTCATTTTTGAAGTAAGGAACCGAGGACCTTAAATAAAAAGACTATAGGTTTATACAACTTACAGTTTATGAGTTAAAAAAACATAACGACAAATTTGTTTCATAAAGGTGGATAACTCCTATAAAATTTCATCGTATCGCTTCAATCCAAATTAACCAAAAGTTCCTGAGGATGTAACGAACAATTTAGAAAAAAATTTTGTCGATATCTTTTTTTGTTAAGAAGGAGAGACACACACTTGATAAACAGTGAATAGGGAGATAGCTCTTACAAAGATAATTGTTCGGCTTAGGAGGGTAAAATTTAAAAGCGCATAAACTATACGATACAATATAAGAAATATCTAAGCGACATATTGTGAAACAATCATTTATCGCAAGAACAAAATTTGGCGGAAGAAAAAAAAAAATTTAAAAACCAATTGTTCAAAGAACAATTGAAGGTCTTTCCACATCAATTTTCTAAATAATTGATGAGAAGCTAATTCTGGTTTACTCAAAGCTACTATTGGCGTCCAATCATAGGTTTCTTCATACTGATTCAATAAACATATAGTTTCTATAGACTTTTGCCTGAAATAAGGGAGATAATTGTCAACTTCCGGTTTAGAAAATGTCACTTCCGGTCTGATATGATAGATTTATTTACACTGATTCCAAAAATATATGGTTTATATATATACTTATGCCTGTAAAAAGGGAATTAATTGACTACTTCCGGTTTAGAAAATATCACTTCCGGTCACATATGATAGATTTATTGACACTGATTCCAAAAATATATGGTTTATATATACTTTTGCATGTAATAAGGGAGATAATATGCTACTTCCGATTTATAAAATATCACTTCCGGTCTCAAATGATAGATAAATGTATGACCATTCAAAAAATATATGGTTTCTAGGTACTTTTCCATGAAATAAGTGAAAGAATATGACCTTGACCTTTGACCTTGGCCTCAATTTCATTTAAATGAACCAAGGAACTCAAATCAATATACCTTAGGTCTCTATCACTTACCATTCATGCTATACATTTATATATCCCTTTTGTCAAATACAGAAGGGGAAATAACTCTCATATGGAGTTTACGTATTGCTTCGGTCAAAATTGGACAAAACATCCTGAGGATATAACGAGCAATTTGGTAAAATAAATTTGTCGCCTTCTTTTACGGTTACGGAGGAGATGCACGCACAAGGAAAACAGTGTTCGGGGAGATAACTCCTACAAAGAAAAGTATTCGGTTAAGCAGGGTCAATTTCAAAGGCGCATAAACTGTTCGATATCATATACGAAACATCTAAGCGACATCTTGCGAAACAAAAATTTATCGCAAGAACAAAATTTGGCAGAGGAAAAAAAAATCAGAAGAAAACCAATAGGTCTTTCCACAGAAAAGTGGAAAGACCTAATAATAATAATCAGAACAAATACAATAGGTCTTTCCGCAGAAAAGTGGAAAGACCTAAAAAAATAATCAGAAGAAAACCAATAGGTCTTTCCACAGAAAAGTGGAAAGACCTGAATATAAATAAATTGTTGTAAAAACAATTGTCAAACGGTCTTTCCCCTCCGAAACATGATTAATTGGTTTTTTGGTTGGTTGGTTGGTTGGTTGGTTGGTCGATTGATTGATTGATTGATTGATTGATTGATTTATTGATTGCATAGCACTTTCTCTGTGCGACGCAGCTAACTTAGATAACGCCTATATTATGAACGAACGTGACTGCGTACTTATACATCTCGCACAGCCAAACGGACGCCTGAGATGTCCTCATAAAAACTGATCCTAGCATCATTCGTTTATTAATTTTTCTCTAGTTTCTATGTTACCTCGGACTTCCATTTTTCATCTATTTGTTGTGTATGCATTTTGATTGAATTTGTAGGAAAACGGAGTAAATTTTACCTTGGAAGTTTCATTTTCCTTTTTTGGATATGGAATGTTTTATTCTAAATTTAGGTCCGCGCGTGAGATGGTGTTGTGAAGTCACGTGACCCTCGAATATATATGTCTGGAGTTATCTTAATTTCTTTTCAGGGGAGACCGTTGAACAGAGCACATGTGTACTGATCGGACAAACATGATCACTATTGGTTTTATTATTTACAGGTCATTGATGACGGATCATGCATGCATCTTACGTACACATGTTTACGGGAGCACAGATTTGTATTTTAATGCATGATTAAAAAATAGGATTGTAGGATTTCAGCAATATTTACGATTTTTCTACGTCATTGAATTTTATTTCTCAATCAAGCGGACCGCGTCTAACGGGAACATGAATTGGAGCCGATTTTTGCAGGAATGAATTTCTATTTAAGAAGTTTGTACATCAGAAGGATTGCATTTTTTACAGTAAAATGTACAGGACTGAACTTCAAGGCGAAATGGGATTCCTCAAAGTAGAAGGAAAAAAAAAAGGGGGGAGGTGGAGGATGGTGGACCTTGGTTGATTAATGAAGATAAGATGCATGTATACATCATGATAGCTGCAAAGTTTGAGGCTATAATTAGTTCATTTTGTTCATTTTACTATTTCAGTGACATGGAACCCCTAAAACAGTGACGCATACCATTTTGACAAAAACTTTCCAGTTATATCATGTCACGACTAACATTTTGGTCAAATTTTTTTTATACGGCTTACGGTTTACGTGTTACAAAAACATAACGACAAATTAATTTGGTAAAGGCAGATAACTCCTTTAAGATCTCACTGCATCGCTTCGATCCAAATTAGGCAAAAATTCCTGAGGATGTAACAAACAATTTAGAAAAAGAATTTTGTCGATATCTTTTTTTTTTATGAAGGAGATGCACACAGATGATAAACAGTGAATAGGGAGATAACTCTTGCAAAGAAAATGGTTCGGCTTAGCAGGGTGAAATTTAAAAGCCCATAAACTATACGATACAATATGAGAAATATCTAAGCGACATATTGCGAAACAAAAATTTCAAAAGTTTGCGGAAAAAAAAAAAATAATAATTAAAAACCAATTGTTTAAAGAACAATTGAAGGTCTTTCCACATCAATTTTCTAAATAATTGATAGGAAGCTACTTCTGGTTTACTCAAAGTTATTAATTGCGTCAAAGTATAGATTTCTTCATACTGATTCAATAAATAAATGGTTTCTATAAACTTTTGCCTGAAATAAGGGAGATAATTGTCAACTTCCGGTTTAGAAAATGTCACTTCCGGTCTCATATGATAGCTTTATTCACACTGATTCCAAAAATATATAGTTGGTATATACTTATGCCTGTAATAAGGAAGATAATATGCTACTTCCTGTTTATAAAACGTCACTTCCGGTCTCAAATGATAGGTTAACCTATGATCATTAAAAAAATATATGGTTTCTAGGTACTTTTCCATGAAATAAATGCAAAAAATACTACTTCCGGTTCACGCAAGGTCACTTCCGGTTTTCTTTTTTCAAGGTCATATGTCAACCAACAGTTTGCAAAAGACCCTATGGCTTTATCATGTACCAAGTTGGAGTAATAATCAATTAACCTTAAATTGAATCATTTCAGGGACAATAACTCCTATAAGATATCATTGGATTATTTCAGACCAAATGTGTCATATCTTAATCACAATTAGGCAAACATTTTGCACTAGTTCTTTAATTTGTAATTTTAAAAGTGACAGAGGAGATCAAATAACAAGGAAAAGTCAAAATTTAGAATATGACCTTGACCTTTGACCTTGGCCTCAATTTCATTTAAATGAACCAAGGAACTCAAATCAATATACCTTAAGTCTCTATCACTTACCATTCATGCTATACATTTATATATCCCTTATGTCTAATACAGAAGGGGAAATAACTCTCCTATGGAGTTTACGTATCGCTTCGGTCAAATATGGACAAAACATCCTGAGGATATAACGAGCAATTTGGTAAAATAAATTTGTCGCTTTCTTTTACAGTTACGGAGGAGATGCGTGCACAAGGAAAACAGTATTCGGGGAAATAACTCCTACAAAGAAAATTATTTGGTTACGCAGGGTAAATTTCAAAGGCGCATAAACTGTTCGATATTATATACAAAATATCTAAGCGACATATTGCGAAACAAATATTTATCGGAAGAACAAAATTAGGCGGAAGAAAAAAAAAATTAAAAACCAATTGTTCAGAGAACAATTGAAGGTCTTTCCACATTAATGTTCTAAATTATTGATGAGAAGCTACATCCAGTTTACTCAAAATTACTATTGGCGTCTAAGCTTTGGTTTCTTCATACTGATTCAATTAATATATGGTTTCTATATACTTTTGCCTGAAATAAGGGAGATAATTGCCAACTTTCGGTTTAGAAAATGTCACTTCCGGTCTCATATGATAGCTTTATTTATACTGATTCCAAAAATATATGGTTTATTTATACTTTTGCATGTAAAAAGGGAGATAATTAGCTACTTCATGTTTAGAAAATGTCACTTCCGGTCTCATATGATAGCTTTATTCACACTGATTCCAAAAATATATATAGTTTGTATATACTTATGCCTGTAATAAGGAAGATAATATGCTATTTCCGGTTTATAAAATGTTTCTTCCGGTCTCAAAAGATAGGTTAACCTATGGTCATTCAAAGTTGTAGTAATAATCAATTAACCTTAAATTGAATCATTTCAGGGACAATAACTCCTATAAGATGTCATTGGATTGTTTCAGACCAAATGTATCATATCTTAATCACAATTAGGCAAACATTTTGCACTTGTTCTTTAATTTGTATCTTTAAAAGTGACAGAGGAGATCAAATAACAAGGAAAAGTCAAAATTTAGAATATGACCTTGACCTTTGACCTTGGCCTCAATTTCATTTAAATGGACAAAGGAACTCAAATCAATATACCTTAGGTCTCTATCACTTACCATTCATGCTATACATTTATATATCCCTTATGTCAAATACAGAAGGGGAAATAACTCTCCTATGGAGTTTACGTACCGCCTCGGTCAAAATTGGACAAAACATCCTGAGGATATAACGAGCAATTTGGTAAAATAAATTTGTCGCTTTCTTTTACGGTTACGAAGGAGATGCAATAACAAGGAAAACAGTGTTTTGGGAGATAACTCCTACAAAGAAAATTGTTTGGCTTAGAATTGGTGAAAATAAAAAGCGCATAAACTGTATGATATTATATAAGAAATATCTAAGCGACATCTTGCGAAACAAAAATTTTACGTTAGAACAAAATTAGGCGGAAGAAAAAAAAAAAAATAATAATAATAATTAAAAAACTAATTGTTCAAAGAACAATTGAAGGTCTTTCCACATCAATTTTCTAAATAATTGATGAGAAGCTAACTCTGGTTTACTCAAAGGTACTATTGGCGTCCAATCATAGGTTTCTTCATACTGATTCAATAAACATATGGTTTCTATAGATTTTTGCCTGAAATAAGGGAGATAATTGGCTACTTCCGGTTTAGAAAATGTCACTTCCCGTCTCATATGATAGCTTTATTTACACTGATTCCAAAAATATATGGTTTATATATACTTTTGCCTGTAAAAAGGGAGATAATTGGCTACTTCCGGTTTAGAAAATGTCACTTCCGGTCTCATATGATAGATTTATTTACACTGATTCCAAAAATATATAGTTTATATATACTTTTGCCTGTAAAAAGGGAGATAATTGGCTACTTCTGGTTTAGAAAATGTCACTTTTGGTCTCATATGATAGCTTTATTTACACTGATTCAAAATATATGGTTTATATATACTTATGCCTGTAATAATGGAGATAATATGGTACTTCCGGTTTATAAAATATCACTTCCGGTCTCAAATGATAGATTAATGTATGACCATTCAAAAAATATATGGTTTCTATGTACTTCTACATGAAATAAGTGCAAAAATGACCACTTCCGGTTCACTCAATGTAGTTTCCGGTTGACATTTTTCAAGGTCATATGTCACCCAACATTTTGCAAAAGATCTTATGGCTTTATCATGTACCAATATGAAGTAATAATCAATTTACCTTAAAATAAAAAAATTAAGGGGCAATAACTCCAATAAGATGTCGCTGGATTGTCTCAGACCAAATGTATCATATCTTCATTACAATAAAGCAAACATTTTGCACTTGTTCTTTTATATATATCTTTAAAAGTGTTTGAGAAAATGCAAAAACAAGGAAACGTCAAATTTTCGAACTTGACCTTGACCTTTGACCTTGACTTCATTTTCTAAGTTGGGACCTAGGGGCCTCATATAAAAACATTCCAGGGTTATACGGTTAAAGGTTTATGAGATAAAAAAACATACCGACAAATTTTTTTGGTAAAGGTAGATAACTCCTATAAAATTTCATCGAATCGCTTCGATCCAAATTAGCCAAAAATTCCTGAGGATGTAACAAACAATTTAGAAAAAGAATTTTGTCGATATCTTTTTTTGTTACGAAGGAGATGCACACACTTGATAAACAGTGAATAGGGAGATAACTCTTACAAAGAAAATTGTTCGTCTAAGCAGGGTGAAATTTAAAAGCGCATCAACTATACGATACAATATGAGAAATATCTAAGCGACATATTGCGAAACAAATATTTATCGCAAGAACAAAATTAGGCAGAAGAAAAAAAAAAAATAATAATAATTAAAAACCAATTGTTCAAAGAACAATTGAAGGTCTTTCCACATCAATTTTCTAAATAATTGATGAGAAGCTAATTCTGGTTTACTCAAAGCTACTATTAGCGTCCAATCAAAGGTTTCTTCATACTGATTCAATAAACATATGGTTTCTATAGACTTTTGCTGAAATAAGGGAGATAATTGGCTACTTCCGGTTTAGAAAATGTCACTTCCGGTCTCATATGAAAGATTTATTTACACTGATTCCAAAAATATATGGTTTATATATACTTTTGCCTGTAAAAAGGGAGATAATTGGCTACTTCCGGTTTAGAAAATGTCACTTCCGGTCTCATATGATAGATTTATTTACACTGATTCCAAAAATATATGGTTTATATATACTTTTGCCTGTAAAAAGGGAGATAATTGTCTACTTCTGGTTTAGAAAATGTCACTTTCGGTCTCATATGATACCTTATTTACACTGATTCCAAAAATATATGGTTTATATATACTTATGCCTGTAATAAGGGAGATAATATGCTACTTCCGGTTTATAAAATATCCCTTCCGGTCTCAAATGATAGATGAATGTATGACCATTCAAAAAATATATGGTTTCTATGTACTTCTACATGAAATAAGTGCAAAAATGACTACTTCCGGTTCACGCAAGGTCACTTCCGGTTGACATTTTTCAAGGTCATATGTCACCCATCATTTTGCAAAAGATCTTATGGCTTTATCATGTACCAATATGAAGTAATAATCAATTTACCTTAAAATAAAACATTTCAGGGGCAATAACTCCAATAAGATGTCGCTGGATTGTCTCAGACCAAATGTATCATATCTTCATCACAATATAACAAACATTTTGCACTTGCTCTTTAATAAATAACATTAAAAATATTGGAGAAAATGCAAAAACAAGCAAAAGACAAAATTCAGAACATGACCTTGACCTTTGACCTTGACCTCATTTTCGAAGTTAGGATCCAAGGACCTCAAATAAAAAGACTATAGGTTTATACGGCTTACAGTTTATGAGTAACAAAAACATAACGACAAATTTATTTGGTAAAGGTAGATAACTCCTATAAAATTTCATCGAATCGCTTCGATCCAAATTAGCCAAAAATTCCTGAGAATGTAACGAACAATTTAGAAAAAGAATATTGTCGATATCTTTTTTTGTTACGAAGGAGATGCACACACTTGATAAACAGTGAATAGGGAGATAACTCTTACAAAGATAATTGTTCGGCTTAGCAGGGTAAAATTTAAAAGCGCATAAACTATACGATACAATATGAGAAATATCTAAGCGACATATTGCGAAACAAATATTTATCGCAAGAACAAAATTTGGCGGAAGAAAAAAAAAATAATAATAATAATAATAATAATCAGAACAAATACAATAGGTCTTTCCACCGAAAAGTGGAAAGACCTAATAATCAGAACAAATACAATAGGTCTTTCCACAGAAAAGTGGAAAGACCTAATAATCAGAACAAATACAATAGGTCTTTCCACAGAAAAGTGGAAAGACCTAATAATCAGTAGAAAACCAATAGGTCTTTCCACAGAAAAGTGGAAAGACCTAATTAAAAACCAATTGTTCAGAGAACAATTGAAGGTCTTTCCACATCAATGTTCTAAATTATTGATGAGAAGATACATCCAGTTTACTCAAAATTACTATTGGCGTCCAAGCTTTGGTTTCTTCATACTGATTCAATTAATATATGGTTTCTATATACTTTTGCCTGAAATAAGGGAGATAATTTGCCAACTTCCGGTTCATAAAATGTCACTTCCGGTCTCTTATGATAGCTTTATTTAAACTGATTCCAAAAATATATGGTTTATATATACTTTTGCATGTAAAAAGTGAAATAATTAGCTACTTCCGGTTTAGAAAATGTCACTTCCGGTCTCATATGATAGCTTTATTTATACTGATTCCAAAAATATATGGTTTATATATACTTTTGCATGTAAAAAGGGAAATAATTAGCTACTTCCGGTTTAGAAAATGTCACTTCCGGTCTCAAATGAAAGGTAAATGTATGTTCATTCAAAAAATATGTGGTTTCTAGGTACTTTTCCATGAAATAAATGCAAAAATTGCTACGTCCGGTTTACTCGAGGTCACTTCCGGTTTACTTTTTTCAAGGTCATATGTCAACTAACAGTTTCCAAAAGACCCTATGACGTTATCATGTACCAAGTTGGAGTAATAATCAATTAACCTTAAATTGCATCATTTCAGGGACAATAATTCTTAAAAGATATCTTTGGATTGTTTCAGACCAAATGTATCATATCTTTATCACAATTAAGCAAACATTTTGCACTAGTTCTTTAATTTGTAATTTTAAAAGTGACAGAGGAGATCAAATAACAAGGAAAAGTCAAAACTTGGAATATGACCTTGACCTTTGACCTTTGCTTCAATTTCATTTAAATGAACCAAGGAACTCAAATCAATATACCTTAGGTCTCTATGACTTACCATTCATGCTATACATTTATATATCCCTTATGTCAAATACAGAAGGGGAAATAACACTCATATGGAGTTTATGTATCGCTTCGGTCAAAATTGGACAAAACATCCTTAGGATATAACGAGCAATTTGGTAAAATAAATTTGTTGCTTTCTTTTATGGTTATGGAGGAGATGCCCGCACAAGGAAAACAGTGTTCGGGGAGATAACTCCTAGAAAGAAAAGTATTCGGTTAAGCAGGGTCAATTTCAAAAGCGCATAGACTGTTCGATATCATATACAAAACATCTAAGCGACATCTTGCGAAACAAAAATTTATCGCAAGAACAAAATTTGGCGGAAGAAAAAAAAAAATTAAAAACCAATTGTTCAAAGAACAATTGAAGGTCTTTCCACATCAATTTTCTAAATAATTGATAGGAAGCTACTTCTGGTTTACTCAAAGTTATTAATAGCGTCAAAGTATAGATTTCTTCATACTGATTCAATAAATAAATGGTTTCTATATACTTTTGCCTGAAATAAGGGAGATAATTGCCACCTTCCGGTTTAGAAAATGTCACTTCCGGTCTCATATGATAGCTTTATTCACACTGATTCCAAAAATATATAGTTTGTATATACTTATGCCTGTAATAAGGAAGATAATATGCTACTTCCGGTTTATAAAATGTCACTTCCGGTCTCAAATGATAGGTTAACCTATGATCATTCAAAAAATATATGGTTTCAAGGTACTTTTCCGAGAAATAAGTGCAAAAAATACTACTTCCGGTTCACTCAAGGTCACTTCCGGTTTACTTTTTTCAAGGTCATATGTCAACCAACAGTTTGCAAAAGACCCTATGGCTTTATCATGTACCAAGTTGGAGTAATAATCAATTAACCTTAAATTTAATCATTTCAGGGACAATAACTCCTATAAGATATCATTGGATTGTTTCAGACCAAATGTATCATATCTTAATCACAATTTAGCAAACATTTTGCACTAGTTCTTTAATTTGTAATTTTAAAAGTGACAGAGGAGATGAAATAACAAGGAAAAGTCAAAATTTAGAATATGACCTTGACCTTTGACCTTGGCCTCAATTTCATTTAAATGAACCAAGGAACTCAAATCAATATACCTTAGGTCTCTATCACTTACCATTCATGCTATACATTTATATATCCCTTATGTCAAATACAGAAGGGGAAATAGCTCTCATATGGAGTTTACGTATCGCTTCAGTCAAAATTGGACAAAACATCCTGAGGATATAACGAGCAATTTGGTAAAATAAATTTGTCGCTTTCTTTGACGGTAACGGAGGAGATGCTTGCACAAGGAAAACAGTGTTCGGGGAGATAACTCCTACAAAGAAAATTATTTGGTTACGCAGGGTAAATTTCAAAGGCGCATAAACTGTTCGATATCATATACCAAATATCTAAGCGACATATTGCGAAACAAATATTTATCGCAAGAACAAAATTAGGCGGAAGAAAAAAAAAATAATAATTAAAAACCAATTGTTCAAAGAACAATTGAAGGTCTTTCCACATAAATTTTCTAAATAATTGGTGAGAAGATAATTCTGGTTTACTCAAAGCTACTATTGGCGTCCAATCATAGGTTTCTTTACAATGATTCAATAAGCATGGTTTCTATAGACTTTTGCCTGAAATAAGGGAGATAATTGTCAACATCCGGTTTAGAAAATGTCACTTCCGGTCTCATATGATAGCTTTATTTACACTGATTCCAAAAATATATGGTTTATATATACTTTTACCTGTAAAAAGGGAGATAATTGGCTACTTCCGGTTTAGAAAATGTCACTTCCGGTCTCATATGATAGATTTATTTACACTGATTCCAAAAATATATGGTTTATATATACTTTTGCCTGTAAAAAATGAGATAATATGCTACTTGCGGTTTATTAAATATCACTTCCGGTCTCAAATGATCGATAAATGTATGACATTCAAAAAATATATGGTTTTTATGTACTTCTACATGAAATAAGTGCAAAAATGACTACTTCCGATTCACTCAAGGTCACTTCCGGTTGACATTTTTCAAGGTCATATGTCACCCAACATTTTGCAAAAGATCTTATGGCTTTATCATGTACCAATATGAAGTAATTATCAATTTACCTTAAAATAAAACATTTCAGGGGCAATAACTCCAATAAGATGTCGCTGGATTGTCTCAGACCAAATGTATCATATCTTTATCACAATATAACAAACATTTTGCACTTGTTCTTTAATATATAACATTAAAAATATCGGAGAAAATGCAAAAACAAGCAAAAGACAAAATTCAGAACATGACCTTGACCTTTGACCTTAACCTCATTTTCGAAGTTAGGATCCAAGGACCTTAAACAAAAAGACTATAGGTTTATACGGCTTACAGTTTATGAGTAACAAAAACATAACGACAAATTTATTTGATAAAGGTAGATAACTCCTATAAAATTTCGTCGAATCGCTTCGATCCAAATTAGCCAAAAATTCCTGAGGATGTAACGAACAATTTAGAAAAAGAATTTTGTCGATATCTTTTTTTGTTACGAAGGAGATGCACACACTTGATAAACAGTGAATAGGGAGATAACTCTTACAAAGATAATTGTTCGGCTTAGCAGGGTGAAATTTAAAAGCGCATAAACTATACGATACAATATGAGAAATATCTAAGCGACATATTGCGAAACAAAAATTTCAAAAGTTGGCGGAAAAAAAAAAATAATAATAATAATAATAATAATCAGAACAAATACAATAGGTCTTTCCACAGAAAAGTGGAAAGACCTAATAATAATCAGAACAAATACAATAGGTCTTTCCACAGAAAAGTGGAAAGGCCTTATAATAATAATAATAAATATAAATCAATTGTTTTAAAAACAATTGTTAACGGTCTTTCTCCTCCGAAACATGATTGATTGATTGATTAATGGATGGATGGATGGATTGATTGATTGATTGATTGATTGATTGATTGATTGATTGATTGACTTATTACACCCGTGAGATAGGGTCGCTTGAAACAAGCAAACACGAAACAAATGAGATCTTGGACCTGTATAAAACACAAGGGACCACAACAAGCATGTAATGGTTGGTTGGTTGGTAGGTAGGAGGTTTGGTTGGTTGGTTAAACACATGGGGCCGATCCACTAGGACAACGCGAAAAGGGAATTGAGAGTCTAGTGCCCGTGTTTAAACACGGAACACGTGAAAAATGCATTGAGAGCCTAGTGCCCGTGTTTAAACACTCGAAACCTAGCCTCTAGGAACACGTGAAAAAGGCATTGAGAGCCTAGTGCCCGTGTTTAAACACTCGAGACCTAGCCTCTAGGAACACGTGAAAAAGGCATTGAGAGCCTTGTGCCGGTGTTTAAACACTCGAGACCTAGCCTCTAGGAACACGTGAAAAAGGCATTGAGAGCCTAGTGCCCGTGTTTAAACACTCGAGACCTAGCCTCTAGGAACACGTGAAAAAGGCATTTAGAGCCAAGTGCTCGTGTTTAAACACTTGAGACCTAGCCTCTAGGAACACGTGCAAAAGGCATTGAGAGCCTAGTGCCCGTGTTTAAACACTCGAGACCTAGCCTCTAGGAACATGTGAAAAAGGCATTGAGAGCCTAGTGCCCGTGTTCAAACACTTGAGACCTAGGCTCTAGGAGCACACGAAAACGGGTCCGTGCAACATTTTAGCTATATTCAAGTTATGATATTTGTAGGAACATGCAAGGATTTAAACAGGCCTTCAAAAATATCCTTGCTTCTTCCTTTATAAATGTTCTTTTTTTTTTATAGTGCTTCCCGGAATTTGTGACTTATTTTTTACTTATTGATCTTATTGTGTGTGCATTGTATTCCATTTTGTATTTAAAATGGCCCGACCTGACCTGCATGGATCTTTTGTATCTAACCTATGTGATTAATTCTTTCCGAAAAGGGGGAAACCCCTATTTTATTTTAGGTAGCAGGCGTTGCACCGGATAGTTGACATGATTGTGACGTCACCAAGCTGATTGATATACACAGAAAGATTATTTAATTCAGTTGCAGAGAGAGACGTCGTTCTGACAACACCTATGTATAAAGAATGTGCAAACGGATTTAAATTTCTTTCATTTACAGGTCATTGAAGTCTGATCATGCATGCTTTTTTCGTACACATATTTACGGGAACACAGATTTCATTTTAATGCATGTTTAGACATTTGATTCTAGGATTTTACTACTATTTACGAATTTTGGAGAGAATTCTACGTAATTGATTTTAATTTCTCAATCCAGATTGGAACGTTAAGCGGACTGCACGTGATTTATACTGCTAACGGAAAATATATTTTTTCGATTTTTTTACAGGTAAACTATTGTCCAATCGCTGACCACTGGTCGACTCATTCATTGCATGCACACAAAAATAATGCTGGTGTTATAGTACTTTAAAAAACGTTTATCGATTAATTTTCAGAAATACATGTACATGATTTGGAGCAGATATTTTATTTTGCAGGAATATATTTGTATTTCAGAAAGAAATTTATTCATAAAAAAAGAAGGATTAGCATTTTTATAATAAAATAGAAATGGGATTCCTAAAAAAAAGGGGGGGGGGGCTAGATGGGTAGTTGTGGGCATTGGATGATTTACAAAGATAAATTGCATGTACGCATCATGAGAGCTGTGAAGTTTGAGGCTATAATTAGTCAATTTGTTGATTTTTCCATTTCAGTGGCATGAAAACCCCCAAAATACTACGCGTATTATTTCGACAAATATTCACGACATAAATAATGTCGCGACTAACATTTTGCTCACATTTTTTTCAATTTTACCCCTAACTTTTTTCTGAGTAAAAGCAGTTTGAAGTGAATGTCAAAATTTAGAACATGACCTTGACCTTTGACCTTGACCTTATTTTCTAAGTTGGGACCCAAGGACCTTCAATAAAGCGACTCTAGGTTTATACGGCTTACGGTTTATGAGTTTATATGCATATCACTTATATCAAATGCATAAGGGGTAATAACTCTCATATGGAGACTCCGGAGAACTTTGGTGCAAACCGACTCATCATCTTGAAGATATAGGAAGCATTTTGGTAAAATAAATTTGTCGTAACCTTTTACGGTTGCGAAGGAGTAGTGGACACAAGAAAAACAGTGTTCGGGGAGATAACTCTTACAACGTAAAGTGTACAGTTTTACAGGGTCAGTTCCAAAAGCGCAATAACTGTTCGATATCATATGCGAAAAATCTAAGCGACATCTTGCAAAACCACAATACTACGCAAGAACAAAATGTGGCGGAAGAAAAAAAAAAATCTCAGAACAAAACCAATAGGTCTTTCCACGGACAAGTGGAAAGACCTAATAATAATCAGAACAAATACAATAGGTCTTTCCACAGAAAAGTGCAAAGACCTAAATAATCAGAAGAAAACCAATAGGTCTTTCCACAGAAAAATGGAAAGACCTAATAATAATCAGAACAAATACAATAGGTCTTTCCACAGAAAAGTGGAAAGACCTAAAAAATAATAATAAATATAAATCAATTGTTTTAAAAACAATTGTTAACGGTCTTTTCCCTCCGAAACATGATTGATTGATTGATTGATTGATGGATTGATGGATGGATGGATTGATTGATTAATTGATTGATTGATTGATTGATTGATTGATTGACTTATTACACACGTGAGATAGGGTCGCTTGAAACAAGCAAACACGAAACAAATGAGATCTTGGACCCGTATTAAACACAAAGGACCGAAACATACATGTAAAAGTTGGTTGGTTGTTAGGTAGGTAGGTTGGTTGGTTGGTTGGTTGGTTAAACACATGGGGCCGAGCCACTAGGACAACGCGAAAAGGGAATTGAGAGTCTAGTGCCCGTGTTTAAACACGTGAGACCTAGCCTCTAGGAATACGCGAAAAAGGAATTGAGAGCCTAATAGCTGTTTTTAAACACTTGAGACCTAGCCTCTAGGAATACGCAAAAAAGGAATTGAGAGCCTAGTGGCCGTGTTTAAACACGTGAGACCTAGCCTGTAGGAATACGCAAAAAAGGAATTGAGAGCCTAGTGGCCGTTTTTAAACACTTGGGACCTAGGCTTAAGGAATACGCGAAAAAGGAATTGAGAGCCTAGTTCCCGTGTTTAAACACTTGGGACCTAGGCTTAAGGAATACGCGAAAAAGGAATTGAGAGCTTAGTTCCCGTGTTTAAACACTTGGGACCTAGGATTAAGGAATACGCGATAAAGGAATTGAGAGCCTAGTGGTCGTGTTTAAACACTTGGGACCTAGGCTTAAGGAATACGCGAAAAAGGAATTGAGAGCTTAGTTCCCGTGTTTAAACACTTGGGACCTATGCTTAAGGAATACGCGATAAAGGAACTGAGAGCCTAGTGGTCGTGTTTAAACACTTGGGACCTAAGCTTAAGGAATACGCGAAAAAGGAATTGAGAGCCTTGTTCCCGTGTTTAAACACTTAGGACCTAGGCTTAAGGAATACGCGAAAAAGGAATTGAGAGCCTAGTTCCCGTGTTTAAACACTTGGGACCTAGGCTCTAGGAACCGCGAAAACGGGTCCTTGCAACATGTTTATTTATATTCAAATTATGACATTTGTAGGAACATGCAAGGATTTAAACACACTTACAAAAAGTATCCTTGCATTTTCCTTTATAAATGTTCTCTTTTTTTATAAGGCTTCCCAGTACTTGTGTCTTATTTACTTATTGTGTGTGCATTGTTTTCAATTTTATAATTAAAGGACATCGGACCTAACCTGCATGGATCTTTTGTATTTAACCCTGTACGTGCACATGCATTTTAATTCTTTTCGAAAAGGGGAAAACCCCTATTTTATTTTAGGTAGCACGCGCTGCACCGGATGGATGGTGTGATTGTGACATCACCAAGCTGATCGATATACACAGAAAGAATGTTTTTAAAATTTAGTTGCAGAGGGATTGTCGTCAAGACCAGACCTGTGTATAAAGATTGTCAGCTAACGGATTTAAATTTTCTTTCATTTACAGGTCATTGATGTCGGATCATGCATGCTTTTTTCGTACACATATTTACGGGAACACAGATTTCATTTTAATGCATGTTTAGACATTTGATTCTAGGATTTTACTACTATTTACGAACTTTGGAGGGAATTCTACGTAATTGATTTTAATTTCTCAATTCAGATTGGAACGTTAAGCGGACTGCACGTGATTTATACTGCTAACGGAAAATATATTTTTTCGATTGTTTTTTACAGGTAAACTATTGTCCAATCGCTGACCACTGGTCGACTCATTCATTGCATTCATACAACAACAATGCTGGTGTTATAGTACTTTAACAAAACGTTTATCGACTAATTTTCAGAAATACATGTACATGATTTGTAGCAGATAATTTATTTTGCAGGAATATATTTGTATTATTGTATTTCAGAAAGAAATTTATTCCTGAAAAAAGAAGGATTAGCATTTTTATAATAAAATAGAAATGGGATTCCTAAAAAAAAAGGGGGGGGGGGGCTAAATGGGTAGTTGTGGGCATTGGATGATTTGCAGAGATAAATTGCATGTACGCATCATGAGAGCTGTAAAGTTTGAAGCTATAATTAGTCAATTTGTTGATTTTTCCATTTCAGTGGCATGAAAACTCCCAAAATACTACGCGTATTATTTCGACAAATATTCACGACATAAATAATGTCGCGACTAACATTTTGCTCACATTTTTTTCAATTTTACCCCTAACTTTTTTCTGAGTAAAAGCAGTTTGAAGTGAATGTCAAAATTTAGAACATGACCTTGACCTTTGACCTTGACCTTATTTTCTAAGTTGGGACCCAAGGACCTTCAATAAAGCGACTCTAGTTTTATACGGCTTACGGTTTATGAGTTTATATGCATATCACTTATATCAAATGCATAAGGGGAAATAACTCTCATATGGAGACTCCGGAGAACTTTGGTGCAAACCGACTCATCATCTTGAAGATAAAGGAAGCACTTTGGTAAAATAAATTTGTCGTAATCTTTTACGGTTGCGAAGGAGTAGTGGACACAAGAAAAACAGTGTTCGGGGAGATAACTCTTACAACGTAAAGTGTACGTTTTAACAGGGTCAGTTCCAAAAGCGCAATAACTGTTCAATATCATATGCCAAATATCTAAGCGACATCTTGCAAAACCACAATACTACGCAAGAACAAAATGTGGCGGAAGAAAAAAATAAAATCTCAAAACAAAACCAATAGGTCTTTCCACGGAAAAGTGGAAAGACCTAATAATAATAATAATAATAATCAGAGCAAATACAATAGGTCTTTCCACGGAAAAGTGGAAAGACCTAATTAAGAAAAGCGAGAAAAAAAACAAGGGACATTCAAACTGATAAGTCGAAACCAAACTGACAATGCCAGAACAAAAAAACAAAAGACAACCAAAAGACAAAAGACAAATAACTGTACATAAAAACGAAAGACCAAGCAACATTAACCCCACTGACAAGTTAAATTCGAGGAAAAGAGGACGGGGTTGTGATTACGACAATTGGAACGTCAATATTCGTCGTTATCTGTGAAACAGATACTAGTATTCAGTAATGGTCAACCAACGTATGGTGGTGTTTGTCAACGTTTCTAATGGTCGATTCCAAATTTACCACTTGCAAGTCTTAGTTTATTGGATGTCTTGTCAGCAGCAACCCCCTATACATGAAAATATAAGGAATGTAAGCTCTGATATATCGTATAAACTGGGAGATATATTCTCTTTATGCAGGCCTGCTGGAATGTGCTACATAAAAATTGAAAATTCACAACAGGAAGCTGAAATTATCTCATGTGTCGGAAAGTTTGCAATTAAATATGAATAGTATGTAAGAATGTCAATTTTCCTTTTTGTAATTCCACACTATATACATATAAACAGATGTAGTTTGATTGCCAATGAGTCATCGATCCACAAAAGTTTAAATGCCAAATAACTACGAATAAAGCATACCGTAAGAAGGGGCCAAAGGAACCTTATTGTCCGAAACATTTAAAATGAATATATTACTGTAGCTCTTGAAAGTAAAGTTCCTTGGGTAAATTCCACAGAAAATTAGTCTTTAATTAATCAAAATATAGCTAAAACAAACTCGTTCAATTCGTTACAAGGTTTTAACAACATCTTGGCGTATTATCGAAAAATATACAATATTATAAACTCCTTTAGATGACCAACATTTGTAATTTTGAAAATATTTGCCTTTTTGTAAACATTTAAAAAAAAGGAAACAAAAGGAAATTCCTAACCAACAATTACAATCCATGCTTCCGTTGTAAAGCTTATTCTGTCTTGTCCATTGATTACAAATACATTCAATTTTCTAGCAAGCCTTTTGTGACTGAAAAATTTCTTTGAAATAACAATATAAAAAATAACTCACCACTGTAAAAATAAGTACCTATCACAATGTATCAATTTACGCTCTCCAATTTCGTATATTATTTGGACTTAAGCTTTTTTTCTTAATTCGAGCGTAAATGGATGAGACTTTTGCAAACGAAACGCACGACTGGCGTACAAATGTATAAGCCTGGTTTCCTACACTTAAGGCATATAAATGTGGCAACTCTTCCGCACAGACTTTGCAAAACAACAAGGGAGTGATATTCCTATTTAAGAATATGATTTGTTATAAACTTCATAGTGAACGTGGTACAAGTTTAGGCGTAAAAGGAATTCCTTTTGGAAAATTATAATGTCTTCATTAACAGAATTGAAACCTTAATCTTCTGAACTTTACATTGTTGTATTTCTGTTCGTGGCAGAATTTTGTTTCCTGTTGTTTGAATAAATGTGAATATCTATGTATCTATGTTTTGTTTTAATAGATTCTAAATCGGGAAACATATATCAAACTAATTGCAATTTAAATTATGACCTCGTTTCAGCCGATCTACTAGCCCCCCTTTCAGGCTAGCCAAGTATATTTGTCCTGGTGACGTGATTGATTAATTGTCGTGAGATGGAAACACACCTTTAGAATACTAATTGATTCAGTTCATGATTATTAGTCAATAGGATTAACATAAAACATCGTGTGCTTTACAAAGTTATAATTCAGGATTTACCATCTGCTCCACGTAACATCATCCCAAATTATCAAAATCAATTTTTATCACATGTTGAAAAAAGTAAAATCACAAAAATACTAAACTCCGAGGAAATTTCAAAAAGGAAAGTACCTAATCAAATGGCAAAATCAAAAGCTCAAACACATCAAACGAATGGATAACAACTGTCATATTCCTGACTTGGTACAGGCATTTTCTTATGTAGAAAATGGTGGATTGAACCTGGTTTTATAGCTAGCTAAACCTCTCACTTGTATGACAGTCGCATCGAATTGAAGCTATCCTTCAGAGTCTCCGTGACTGTGAATCTCATTTTAAGTATATCTATGGTGTTTACATTGCTGTTTATTCTTATATTACTATTCTTGTTAAGTGGGAATAAAAAAAAAACTCATCACATATCCACCCTTTTTTTGTATGACACATCATTTCATAAAGTAGAACTAAATTAAACCGAGTTTTATTAATTGTGAGAAACGAGCTCTTCCAACGCCGTTATACAGGCAAATTGATAACCTTAATGTCTAACAAAAATTTTTTTGGTCTTAGAGTTCAACACTGTAATATTTTGCAGCATATTGTTTTCTTTTTTAAGGCAGGCATCAAACCTGATCACTTGGTGTTGGTACCTAAAAGCGTATCTGCATTTGTTTATTGTCAGACTTTACTGCTACGAGACAATACACAAAAAACACAAGACGGAGAAGAATATATGGTTGTTGATCTTGGAGGTAATTGTGATGTTTGATATGAACGAATCCATACTTAAGTACAGCTATTTGTAATTTCCAGACAGAGGGTGATTGGTCCGTGTATATTTGCGTCCATTCGTCTTTCATTTTGAAATTTCAAAAACAAAAAACAAAAAACGAGAGTGTTTTCATTTTTCGTTTTTGATTTCTCTAAAACCAAAACGGAAAACAAAAGTGTTTTCATTTTTTGTTTTTGATTTCTCTAAAACCAAAATGAAAATAAAAAGTGTTTCCGTTTTTCGTTTTTGATTTTACTAAAGATGAATTTTGAATGTAATTTTAATTATTCTCGTTTTATAATGTACAATGTTTTCCTTTCTTGTTTCACAGTCATTGATAGTAAATAATGCCAATGTAAACACCCCGGTGTTCTTTCAACATAATGTAGACAAAATAGACCCGCCTGACTTATGAATTGAACTACGGTGATAAATGAATCAAAGCCTTTCAAATTACCTTGTTTATATCTTTACTAAAAAAAAAAATATTATATTTAAATATTAAAGGAATCATAAATTTAAATTGTACAATATAATATTATATAAGTGTGGTACAAATAGATAGACAGTTGAACGGCAAACGATTTAATGGCGTCTAAGTTCAAGACATTGGTCACGTGATAAAAGGTCAGAGTTAACCGTTTTCTTGTGAACGTGTACACCTCTTGGTTTTTTTACCTCGTATCGTCTAATTGTAACTCGTACATAAATAAAACTTGTAGGGTCCAAATCTTGAGTGAATAAGCTTCATTATTATGTATACTTATTTATGAAAGGTGTTATAAAAGTATTCTAAAACAACGATGGAAGTTGAAATTTTTTTTGGAAAATTTGCGTAGGTCTACGGAAAATCCCAAATCATTTCTTAAATGGGTTTGGTAGCGTATGGAGGGGTATAAAATATGAAGTAAAACCATTTTCTGGATCTTATATATTAATTATAGATCATAAATTCCCCGGATACGCAATTGTGTCAGCTTATTCGTGGCGAAGCGGAGATCAACGGGAGATAACTCCGTACACGCGTCGTAGGAAACTGCAAGTTCACAACAGTAAATTCGAGTAAAATTAATGATTGTAGTTATATTTCGACACTTTCTTGAATAACCATTCAATATTTAATGTTCCTCTACTCTTGTAACATTAAAATAGTCATGGAATGTTTGAATATGGCATTTTTTCAAGTACCCTAAAACAGGTTTTTGAAAACTTCCAAAGAAGAAAATTATAGATAACTGACTTTTCTCTGAAACTTATTTGTATATTCTCAAACACCCTTTTGGTAGATGGAATGATACAAGTCTTTGTTTTACTTTCTTTGTATCAATATTCTTAGAAAGAATGTTACCAACTACATTGTATCTTTGTTTTTCTACTATGATCTGCAAAGAGATGGGTTCTTTATGTGTGACCTCAATGATTGTCAAGCATGATTTTTGGTAGCCTTTATTCCTGATGTAACAATGGAAAATTCTGAGAAAAGCAAGAAATTTAAGCAGATCCATGTCTTTTATAAAGAGAGGGTGGATTATTCCTAATTTCCATATACAGAAAAAACATATTTCATTTCATGCCAAATAATTACATACGAGAGGGGTTTATCAGCCATTTGTCAGCAGAACTTGTGTTACAATAGAATTTAACTTTGCATTACATTCAAATACAATATGGAAAAAAAGAAAATGTAGACAATACATGCCCCCTCCTCTTTGAAAATTGGCTTGATCCACCCCCGAGATAAGAAACTATATAAGATGTACAAGTTTCGTTGCTCGCTCTTAATCAAGAGAAAAAATCTGATCATCCAAAAAGCCAGAAAGGGATTTAAAACATTATAATCAACACGAAGAAAACTGAACAAAAAGCTGTATTGCAATCTGATATCATGCAGTTCTCATAATTCCTATTACATGTATTACTTCAAGTTTTTTTTTCCTTATATTTGATTTCATAAGTCCTACAAACAACTGTTGAGTCCTTTAATTAAATTATTGATTGAATAATGAATGATTAGCTAAGCTGGTCCGTAAATAAAGTCTGAAAATGCTTTGTTTATATAAAAGAGTGTTATTATGTCATAAAATATACTGAATCAACTTCGAATTTAATCCAAATTCATATTTAACTGCTCTAAAATGCATAGTCGATTGAACTACAAAACAAAAACCTGAGACTACAATAACAATTAACATAGAGATTGGTCACTTCCCATGTTATAGTAGTCTCAGACAAAAACAAACCTGACTTAAATACATGTACAGTATGTTCATAAATTTTTTGAAGAATGGACAACAATGAGATATTTATTTTTCTGATATCAGAAAAAATCTCATAGTATCAAATCAGAATGAGAGTTCTTTTTATTGAGATAATCAATTTAATCGCATTATTTACTTTAATAAAAACCTCATGATAATATCTGAATTTACAGTCATGACTTAGCTTGTCAACCTCTACACTTAAAAATGTAAGGTTCCTAGGCCTAAATGTGGTTGAAATACAGACAATTGTGGTAACTTTTACAAAAAATCCCTTTTTTATGACATACCTTACAATTTCAGAATAAGCTGCACTACATTTGTAAGTTATATATGTATCACATATAAGAATGCTAGTTTGTATTTTAATATCATGATTATCATGATTATTGCAATAAGTTGTTATTATTCAAGTAATTAAAAAAAACATCAATTATTTTTGAATTGATAGATCTGGAACCATTTGTTTTTTTAAACATCTATATACTATTCATTAGAGAACTTATTCAAACATATTTTGTACAAGACAGTCATGGCAGTTCACAATTACAGTGGTCATTATAAACATAATGACACAATTTATACAACCAAATTTTATTGTTGATATATGTAAACTGAAATCATTGCAGAATTTTTCTTTCAAATGATTTAATGTTTGTTAGTCACTTACTTTAAATACTTAACCTGTACTAAAATAAAGAGATGTGGTATGATTGTCATTGAGATAACAGTATAGAAACTATCCACCAGAGTCCAAATGTCTGTTAGCAGTTAAATTATAAGTCACTTTACAGACATCAACAATGAATACATTTCATTGTTATTAGGCAGATGAGGAAAAAGAGTAATGATAGCGTTTTAGCTTACTACATCAACAAGAGAATATAAGAAATATAATAATATAAATAAGGAAATAATAGAGACAAAAAAGACAGGACTTAGCCACTGGACTATATGTAAAGTGTTCCCTTACTAATCCTTAAAGGAGCTGCTGTATACTTAGAAAAAAGGATGTTGAGGACTTGGCCACATCAATCAGCATTTTTAAACACTACATTATGGTCAATTGCAATCTGCCCTATTTGCTCCAACCTCTAATGAGTATTGAAATTAATACCTAGGGTAGGAATTAAACCCATGTATGTTCATTTACTCTATTGTTCTCTATGTACATACATGTACATGTATATGAAATATATCAAATGCAAAAAAATGCTGGAATGTAAATATGGTAATTTACATCATGTACATTATTACAGCCTCTTTTTTTAAGGACCTAGTAAAGGAGGTCCCTGGACCTAGCTAGACCTATTTCTCAGGCAAGGTGTATTATATAACTCTTGAAAGTAGTTAAATGCAATTGTAAAATTAATTGTATCTGCTGTTAAACAATAATAACACGATAATGGTTATTTCTAAGTATTTAGTAACAACAGCGTGCAATTTAGGTAAACAAACATCAATAATCTACCACGTGTTTGTCTGCTGTGCTTGAATATTTAAACATTTTACATACGGGTACTTTTTTTGTCGACAAATTGACCTCTATCTGTCAGATTCAGGCGTTTGCCGTTCAACTGAGATTGATTACAACATCACATTATCAAGGGAGGTTACTACTTTTAAAACTGATAAGAAAACTAGCCCAGTCCTTAAAGTATACATGCACAGCGGTTATCAGATCTATAGTATTTAAATCGAAGTTAATGTCGACGGATGCAAAAGACTTTATCAATCTGAACAAAAAGGGGGCGTGATCTTTACGTTTAAGTTTAGAAAGGTTGATATAAGATGATTAGTATTGATGACCAAGGTCCATCTGCCGGTATTATACGAACATTCAGGACGATAATGTGTTTTGCTTGATCAATTGATTGAAAAACAAATTTGCGCAGTTTCACAATTCAAACCGGGATTAGCATTCAATCATTTTGCCATTTGGAGCCTATTCGGTATTAGTTTTTCTTATTTGTGAAATTATATGGTGACCTTAACTGGAGGGTGTGGATGGGGGTTTACGGAATAGAGAATAGTGGGCAAAAAATATAAACAAAAGAGACAATGAACCAAGACATAAAAAAATAGAATAATGAGGTGTTTAAATATGAATAGAACAAAATAATTGGCAAAAAGTAAAAAGAAATAAAGAATAGAGATAAATGGCCTATAACACTAATTAAAGAATAGAGAAAAATGGTATAACATATCAAAGAATACAGAAATGAAGAACCCCGCATCCAGACCCTCGTACTAGTTGCCTAAACCAACGTTATTTTGTCTCCAGTAGATTGTTATTGGTTATCATACGTTTTCTTTTAATTCTGTGCCTATCAATTAAGACGTGAGCTTTCATAATTTGCCAGCTTATTACATTATAAAAAAAATCTAAGCCGAACATCACCCTGGATTTTTTCTCAAGTAGACCTCAGCTACCCACCCTACCACACCATTACCGAAAAGTTAATAAAAAAATGTGTATAGCAATACTTTTGTCCGCACTAGGTGCAAAGGGAAGCTGGGTAGCTGAGGTTTACAGTAGAAAAAATCCAGGGTGTTGTTCGGCTTAGTTTTTTTCTCTAAAGTAGGTCCAAAGTTTAGGTCGGATACCCTACCCAACCCTTCCCGAAAAGATAATAAAAAAAATTCTACGGCAATACTTTTGTCCACACTAGGTGCAAACGTAAGCTAGAGATCTAGCGCATACTTGATCAACATT